GAAGTCTGCCAGTTTGGTTTTAAAATGCTTAGAGTCATTCCTCTGTTTACCATAATAATCCTGAGAACACGATAACTAAACATTCTGAAAACAGAACCAGAATCAAGTGAAACCTGTCTGCTTTGCACATCGGGCACTCCAACATTATGGAGTAGATCATAAAGTCAGAGTCAGGTGTGCTTATTTTCCAGGTGAGGATGCTGTAGCTGGCAAAGGATTGTTCCCAACAAAAGCGGCAGTTAATCCCTAGATTCCTCACTGTCAGGGGCCACATCTCCTTCTTTTACTCATTTAAAAACATCTCATATTTATCTGCCTCATTTAATTCCCTTTGGCCTTTTGTGGGGCTTGACCCACTTTATTCCCTGGATCTTATTCCATCTCATATAATTAATTTCCCTATCCTCATCTTGCCCAGGTTTACTGATTGAAGAAACACATCTTGGGCTTTAGTCTTTCCCAAAGACATCTAATCACGCATCTGTCCCATGACTACGTTCTCTTGGTGTCTTCCCAAAGAACGCTTCCTCCCACCAAGTTACATCAATGTGGTCTCCAAGGCACCAGAAGCTGTGTTCTCCTGATTTGTTTTGAATTGTGGATTAGATTTCTTTTCAGGTAACATTTAAGAAGACTTCACTTTCATGTGACTCATCTGTCCCAGTGATGATCGTGACTCAAAGATTTATTAAGTATCACTTTAAAATGCAATATGTATATGTTTTAAATTCTGAAACAAGCATCTTCTTTGTTGTTGCCACTGTTTTGCCTCTACATCATGATTCTAGACCAAAACTACTTTTTGCAGTGAACCTAGCTCTGTTTAAGGAACACGATTTATTTTGGAAATGCTTGTCAGAATACTTTTGAGCTTTCGAAAAGATGAACAGTTCTCTCTCCATATCTCAGGTACTGAATAGTCATAGGTGTCCTTGTCTTTCTCCAGCCTCTTCCAACCTGAAACCCCTTCCTGGTGAATCATGTATGGAAGAGCTTCCATGGAGGCCTGCAGTCTTTTCTCACTGATGTGCAAAGATCAGAAAAAGGCAGGGAGCAGAGCACGGAGGGGCTTTGGCAAAGCTGGTATCAGGCTGTGCTTGGAAGACAAGTCACTTCAATGAGAGTTCCTCCTCCTGCAGTTGTCTTATTGTGTCTGTGTCTCTTCTTGTCAACACATACAGATAGGTACATTCTGATCAGACTTGTTAGTCTCCCTTTCCTGTCTCCATTCTACCCTGCTTACATGATGGTGTGCCTGTTACTTAATGTTACTCACTTTTTTATCTGTAAAAATGCATATCCAATTGGCTTGAACTTAACTGGTAGATGTGAAAGCATCCAGCACAGTGTCCAGCCATGTCTTCTGAATTGCCGGAAGCCTCTGGTTATTTAGTCATGCTCCTGAAGAATGCAGTTGACCTTTGAACAACACAGGTCCACTTTGACATGGATGTTTTCTCAATAGTAAATACTATAGTATTTACTGATGTAGACACTATATGGTAAAGAGACCCAGATTTGATCCACAAACACATATACAATTAGATACACAATGAAAGGGAATATTTAACATTTGGTCAAATGGGTCCTGCGTGGATTTCACAGTATATTTCACTGTAAATTTGTTATCTTTTGACTTGGCACTCAAATTGGATGACTTTTTTTTTTTTTTCTCTCATTCAGATTTACCAGTTGTAATCATAATACTTTACCACAGTATAAAATAATGTTATTTCCTACACTTTGGGGAAATATGTCTCAATATTTTTTTCTCTTTAAAATCTTCTGCCCACCTTCCCTTCTTCTTACATCCCACATTAAGATTTAATTCTGAAATTACTCTGAATTTCAGAGAAAGGTCCAGATTTCTTCTTACCCCATATGTTTTGGTTTTCCAAATATTGCACACTAATGAAAATTCCCTGTGCATCTATAGTAAATAAACCTTTGAATTACTAATTGTTTCAGATTAGCCCCCTAGATCTTTAGCAGCTGTCTGTATGGCATTTTCAGCCCACAGATTCAGTCTGTTTATTTCTGGGACTTTAATCATCGGCTGTACACACAGGCAGAGGTCTGGTTGCCTTGTAGACAAAAGCGGTGGCAGCATCTGTATGTTTCGTAGCCTGGAGGCGGGGAGGGGGGTCTACTCATCCTTTATCTCCTCCTCTCACCTTGTGTCATTCACTGCCAGACTGCCCGCGGAGGCTGAAGCAGCACAAATGGATGTTCTCACAGTCTGGAGGCTTCCAATCTGGAAGTCCACGCTCAGGGTGCTGGCAGAGTTCGGTTCTGGGAATGCCTCTCTCCTCAGCTTGCAAACAGCTGCCTTCTTGCTGTGTTGTTAGGAGGTCTTCCTTCTGTTCACACACTTTGGTTGTCTCGTCTTCTTAAAAGGACACCATCCTGTCTGATTGTGGCCCACTCTTATGACCTCATTTAACATCAATTACCTCTTTAAAGGCTCTTGTTTCAAATACAGTCTCCTCAGGCGTTAGGACTTCAACATGTGAATTTGAGAGGACACAATTCAGACCCTAGCACAGCTTAAAGAGGAAGCTACATCTTCCAATAGACCCTCCAGCTCTCCTCTCCCCTTCTTTCCACAAGCTTCCTGCTCTGGGATGCTGATCTCTACGGGCTCCAGGTCCTCTGGCTTCTGGTGGCGCCCAGCCAGTGGGCACATTAGTGAAAAATGAGGGAGAGGGAGGAAGAGACAGGGTCTTGCTCAGTGCATAGTACCCTGGGCTCCTTCCCTGCAGGACCAACATGGGCTGGCACATCCCCTGCCCAATTTTCAGCTCTGCTTAGCCCCACAGTCTCCAGTTTCTGTGACTCCCTCTCTCTGGCTTCCTTCAGGCCCCAGGATGTGGTAGTAGGGTGATTACAGACAGACTCCATACCCTCCTCCTCTGGAGTTTGCCTTTACCAGGCTCAGTTGGATTTAAGCTTTGGGTCTGGCATTAGTGAGCATTTCTGAGTCCTGGTTTACTCATCCGTTTAAAAAAAAAAAAAATTGATACAGACTTGAATTGTGCAGAATTATTGTGTACAATAATAATAAAAAGCAGAGACATTACTCTGCCAGCAAAGGTCCGCCTAGTCAAAGCTATGGTTTTTCCAGTAGTCATGTATGGGTGTGAGAGTTGGACTATAAAGAAAGTTGAGCACCAAAGAATTGATGCTTTTGGACTGTGGTGTTGGAGAAGACTCTTGAGAGTCCCTTGGACTGCAAGGAGATCCAACCAGTCCATCCTAAAGGAGATCAGTCCTGAATATTCATTGGAAGGACTGATGCTGAAGCTGAAACTCCAATACTTTGGCCACCTGATGCAAAGAACTGATCATTGGGAAAAACCCTGATGCTGGGAGGGATTGGGGGCAGGAGGAGAAAGGGACGACAGAGGATGAGATGGTTGAATGTTATCACCAACTTGATAGACATGAGTTTGAGTAAACTCCAGGAGTTCGTGATGGGCAGGGAGGCCTGGAGTGCTGCAATCCATGGAGTCGCAAAGAATCAAACACGACTGAGCGACTGAACTGAACTGATTGTGTACAAACAGAAAAATGTTTGTACAGTGCTTGATGTATAGGAAGCCTCTGTAAATGTTAGCCTCTGTGGTTTTCAGGGCACAATGGACCTTCTACATGTAAAATTCCTTTTGATCATAAAACAGAAATTATCTCTTAAGATTTAGCCCTGGATTTTCAGTCTTAATGGAGAAATAAATGTGTTTGTTTCTATTTATAAAAATCCTGCATGGTCACAGTAGGATGGTATTAATAAAATAAAATTCCTTTCTAATCTTATTGAGCAGGAGAAATTCTATTACATTGTCACCTGATGGTAGCTTTAAGCATATTACTGTATTGTGTATTAACTTCATTACATACACAAGCACATACACTTCTAAACTGAGATTGTACTACATCATTTTGTATCCTACATTTGTAATGATATTACAATACAAAAGTATCTTCCAAACATTGTCTTACAGAATATTTTTTTGAGTCACATAATAACAGTGCCTTTTATTTTACTTGTTCTTTTAAATTGGAATAAATAGAATATGTTTTTAAAAATGTTTTCATTGAAGTTTATACATAAGCACACAGTCATAATTTTATATAGATATATAAATGTGATTGTGCCATATGTGCTTTTCCGTTGTTTTGTGGGCTTTAAGGCGTCATCTTTAAACCAGGTAAGTTTTGGCATCATCTCAAGCGTTCTGTTGACTGGTCAGGTAAAGCTCCCACATGACCATGCTTTTTCCTGATGATAGAGCTCCTCAGTGTGTGTTGGAAAGGACAGATGTTGGTGATGAAATGGGACCTTCTTATTCTTCTCTGGCTGTGACATAATGTCTCTGAGATAGATATGGGTCAGTCACCAGAGTTTCTCAATCTTGCCATCCACATCATAGTGAGGGGTAATTCCCTCTAGAGAATTAGAAGCATTGAACAAAATCCTCAGTTTATGATATCTGGGTGATTTTTGCGTCTTTCTCTGTTTCATGAATATTTGGATAGGAAATTGACGGATGGTAAACCAGGCCCAGCTGTCTAGTGGCAGGAACATCCAGAAGTTTCTCCCCCTCTCTTCATGAATTTTTCCCATTCCTGTGTAGTCATATTGCATTTTTCCACATTGAAGGACAGAAAGAAATCTTTGCTTGGGTCTAGTCAAATCCTGTCATAAATATTCTATTCCTTGAAAATTGAAGGTCAGGGAGAGTTTATCAAAGATACTCCAGATTCTTTGTCATCTCTCTTTCTTTGGCTCTTTTTCTAGAAATTCCAGGACAACACACTAAATACTCTGAGACCAGAAGACTTGGGGCCTGGAAAGAAATTTAAGCATTACTATTTTTGTGACTTTGGTTCTCACTTCCTAATTACAAACTAGCTTCCCAGGTGGCACTAGTGGTAAAGAATCTGCCTGACAATTCAGGAAACGTAAGAGACGCAGGTTTGATCCCTAGGTTGGGAAGATCCCCTGGAGCAGGAAGTGACCACCCACTCCAATATTCTTGCCTAGGAAACCCCATGGACAGAGGAAGCAGGCAGGCTACAGTCCATGGAGTCACAAAGAGTCAGATACAACTTAGCACACACTATTGTATTCCTAATTGCAAAATGATAGATTTGGCCTAGGTTCCTCCAGCATGCCTTGTAGATTCGATATGGTAAAATTTCTGAAGGATTCAGCTATAACTGTTCTGAGAAATATTCTTCAATTTGACTTATTTCTCTCTTTTCTCCTGAAAATCTCATCTTATATAGAAAAATAGTCAATACATCTATGTTCTTTGCTGAGCTTATGCCAAGTTTTGTAAGAAAAACCAAAAACTTCTTGGATCTAGTTGAGGAAGATATCCACAAGCAAATATGTTTGGAAATTACAAGTCATGCCACCCTGTTAGGGTTTTGCAATGAGTGATCACTCACCTAAAGACTCTTCGAAGTTCTGCAAAAAGGGAACCTGTTTAATTTGCTTAATTCGGTTTCCCAAACATAGTTGATCTTGAAATCCTTATATTTCTGGTAGCATCTGTTAGCATCCCTCATAATTAATGTCCCTGCCTTACATAGAGGAGACACAGCTCTTGAATGAAAGACATTGTCCCAAATTCTGCCCTTTATTGACGTGTGATCTCAGAGGAAATACATTACTTCTGTACCCCTCACATTGCTCATATATCAGATGAGGGTACATAATAGCACCCACTTCATGTGGATGTAGATTTATACGAATATCATATGACTACGATAGTTGTGACTAATAATATGCCACCTCTGAGGTCTGCCTGTCTGGGTTCAAATTTTGTCCTACCGTTTACTGGCTTATGACCTTAACATTACTTCTGTATCTCAGTTCTTTATCTGGATGAGGGGGATAAACTTTGTACCATTCTCACAGTCATTGGAGGAATTCAGTCCAATTCATGTAAAATATTTAGAATGGTGCTTGGCCCATGGTAGGCATCTAGCAAATGTTAGCCTTTATTTTTGTCATTGTTGATGTTCTTGTTACTTCTATGACTGTATCAGGTGAAAGGGATTATTTTTGTTTCTTTGTTTAATTGGGATATAGTTGACATTAGTTTCAAGTATTCAACATTAATGATTCAATATTTGTATATAATTGTGAAATGATCACCACAGTGAGTCTGGTTGACATCCATCACCATACATAGTTGCAATATTTTTCTTTGTGATAAGAAATTTTAAGATATACTTTCTCAGCAACTTTCAAATGTACAATATAACAGTATTAACAATAGTCATCAGGCTGTACATTGCATTTGAATTATTTTCATTTTTAAAAGCAAGCCCTCTAACCTCAGAAAGCAGCTCAGATCCAGCATATTATTAATATAGCATCCTGTGCTGTGCTCAGTCGCTTCAGTCATGTCCAACAGTTTGCGGCCTGTGGACTGTAGCCAGCTAGGCTGCTCTGTCCATGGGATTCTCCAGGCAAAAATACTGGGAGTGCCCACCTCCAGGGGATCTTCCCGACCCAGGAATTGAACCCATATCTCTGGCGTCGCCTGTATTGCAGGCAGGTTCTTTATCCACTGAGCCACCTGGCAAGCATCATACCCCTCCTGCAAATGCTTGATTCTGCTGTGTTGATATTGATCTTGTCTTCATGCGGAGTCTGTGACCTATTTCTGTTTGCGTGCAGGGGCGGAGAGGCCTCGGCTCAGTTTTTGTCTGGGCGTCAGGAAATGGTGGAAGGAGCAAAGACCACTGCTCCTGTGACGGCTACACCAACAGCATCTATACCATCTCCATCAGCAGCACAGCCGAAAGTGGAAAGAAGCCTTGGTACCTGGAAGAGTGTTCATCCACGCTGGCCACAACCTACAGCAGTGGAGAGTCCTATGATAAGAAAATAGTATGTACCATTTGCTTCTCTGACATGATTGGTTTATAATCTTCAAACACAAAGGGAGAATGCATACATTTATATGCACAGTGATATATGGAAATAGAACGTTAAATTAGCTAATTACTTCCCTGGAGGCTCAGACAGTAAAGAGTCTGCCTGCAATGCAGGAGACCCAGGTTCAATCCCTGGGTAAGGAAGACCCCCTGGAGAAGGCAATGGCAACCCACTCCAGTGTTCTTGCCTAGAAAATCCCATGGATGGAGGAGCCTGGCGGGCTACAGTCCGTGGGGTTGCAAAGAGTCAGATGCTACTGAGTGATTTCACTTTCACTTTCTTTCAACACAAGTATTTTAAATGTAACCATTCTGTTACCAAGTCACTGAAAAAGCCTGTCTGGGTCATTTACAATCCAGCATTGAATGTGGCCTTAGACATGATTAAGCCTCAGTTTTCTCAAAGACAAGTGAATGGACCACATTCACCCTGTGAGTTAGTGGTAGAGAAGAGACTGGGTGGAATTCTCAGCCCAGTTCCCTATTACTCTGTCCCCATACTCTCTTGGAATTTCAGCTTCAGATCTTTGGTTTCAAAGTAGGTACAACGAACTCAGTGTGACGTAAACCTATATCAAAAGTGTTTCTCTAACACCAGCACAAAGTTTGCCTGAACAGGAAGCACAGTAATCCTGGGTGATCTGCTTACCAAGATGCCCTCCACGTTATGCAGACGGTAAAATGATGAAGAGTTCTTGTTTGCAGGACCAGCCTGCTTAGGTTTCACTCACTGTTGAACCGTTTGCTAGCTGGTACCTTTGGACAAATTACTTAATTTTTCTGTCTCAACATCCTTAACTGTCAAATGGGGACATTTAATAATATGTAGTTCACAAGAGTTATTTCAGCAATTATGAGGAAGTAGATAAAAAGTGCTTTGTACACTACCTGATCCGTTAGTGCTCAAGAAAGATCTGACTTTTGGGATGCCCCCACTCATTGCAGCCGACTCTGAATTTCAGACACCTTTGCACTTTCTTCTTTTCCCAATCATGATTTTGCAAAATGTCTCAGGATTTGTCTTTTAAAGTGGAGCTGAGCTGCTATATCTGAATCTTTTTAGCATTTAGCTAAACCAACACTCTACTTTTAGATCCCAGGATTCATATAGGTTTGGGCCACTCTGCAATGCTCCCTCTGGCTTTATACAGTGTTGGAAATAGAGGTGATAAGGTACTATGTCCTCATGTAATTCTTCATCCATATCCATTTGGTTTCTCTTGATTCCTGATTATTATAGGCTTCATATTTGATTTCTCAGCTACCTTCTCCTATCCTCTTATTTTATTTATTTGTTTGGTTGAGTTGGATCTTATTTGTGGCATGAAGGGTCTTCATTGCATCATACAGGATCTTTTCCTTGTGGCACATGGGCTCACTAGTTGCGGCCCACAGCCTTAGTTTCCCCGTGGCATATGGGATCTCAGTTCCCCAATCAGGGATCAAACCCAGGTCCCCTACATTGCAAGCTGGGTTCTTAACCACGTGACAACCAGGGAAGTCCCCTTTTACTATCTGCTTTAGTTACATTTTCAGATTGATTTAAATAAAAGCCACCTACCAATATGCATATAATACCTTCTTTCTGTAATACCTTCATAACAATTGAATTAAACATATTCATATAAATTCCCCTGAAAGTACTTCCATCATTCATCAGTAAACATATTCAAAAATACAAAGTAAAATATGAAAGGAGAAAATACAGAGATGACAAGTTTTGAAGTCTCATGGCTTTTTTCATGGGAAATGATGCTCTATGATATTTTACCTTCATAATGGAAATGCTTTCATCTAGGAATGTTTCTTTGGCTTCCAAATTTGCTTATCTCTCAGAACTCTTGGTCAAGGCCCACTAATACTGAGTGGCATCTATCAGTTCTGCATCATGGAAATCCTGATGAACTCTCTGGAATAAGAATTGTCTTCTCAAACTTCTAGAGTCTGAATGCATCTTAAGGTAGCTCACCATTGCCTCAAAGTAAACATGCCTACCTAGTGCTATTATTTCCTGTGGGATGGTGGTGAGAAAGGTGTTTTTAAGTTCCATAAATACCTTCCTTAAGAGAAGCTTATAATCCAATGGGCAAAATATCCAGGAAGAAGGAAGGGTTGCCTGGGTCCAGGTGGAAGAGCACAGTGCAGACAGAGGGACCTGGGAATCACTGCCCAGAGATTGACTGCTTACACTTGACCTCCTAAGGCCTTTCATCCCTATCTCCTGTGATTGTGTGGCAGCTGCTATGTCCCCCATTGACTGGGTGGTCATTTAGGATTCTCCCACGGATGGACAAATCAATCATTCTGTGATGAAAGATAGGGCTTGAGAGGAAAAATGGACACCATGAAATAATGTCAATATCCTTGATTCAGGTCATATTTCACTTTTCCCTAGTTGCTGCTACTGATACCAAAACCTTGACTGACTCACTCAATGTATAAAGTTATCTGTGTAACTTTTACTTGGCCCTATCTTTTGTTTAACCTCTCCTAGTCTCATGGCAGCCATTTGTTAGTAATTCTTCTGTAGCCAATTCTCAGAATCTCTTATTTTGCCTGAATCTCCAAATTACTCTTTGTTGGACAGGAGTGCTATAGCTGTTTCAAATGATAATCTCTAGCTGCAGACAGACCACTCAGTGGCTAAGTAACTTTCCCGGAATCTTGGTTTCCTCATCTGTAAAATGGAGGTAAAGCCAGTACCAACCTCGTGGATTTTCATGAAGATAAGAAGATACTGAGCGTAAGATACTTGCACAGCTCCTGTGGCAGCGAGCCACCTAGTAAGTGGCTGGTATCCTTGTTCCCTAAGTCAGTGTAGCTTTTTGCATCGTGGGAGCTTAGGCCGGTCATTTTTCCAGATGTTGTTAATGGAGGTGCTTCATTTTCCCAATTTGTAGAACCACGATCTGTTCCATCCACCCCATAAAGAAAGGTGCTTTGAAGGTGAACATGTTAACTAACAGTGTGAACATGAGTTGGCAGCAACATCAGCCTTTTATGGTGCAGCTACCCCTTTCCCTTCTAGATGTCAGAATGACAGATAATCCAGCTCTGCACTTGGGAACTTTTCTCCACCAGGCTTTGAACAAGTTGCCTATGGTCCCTCAGAGATGCCCACATCCTGTTAGTGGCATCTGTGATTGAGTGTTACAGGAACAGTGTCTCCCTTTGTTCTGGGGCTCCCCTCCCCAGGCCACCCATTTCCTTTTGTAATTTGTACCTTCTCGAGAAGAGCACAGTTGTCATTCTTCATTCATAGAGCACCTTTGTGAGTTGAACTGAGGCAGACGCTGAGCATCCAGAAGGTCTCACTGCTTCTGGGAAAGCACTTTTGTTAAGTAAATTTTACTTGTCTTTTTAATGGTGTTCAAGCAGGAAAACCTTGCCCTGAGTTTCAGAATGTAGCCCAGTCTCCATCCCTTGTTTTCCTGCCATCACTGTCGATACAGTTGCGGACCTTAGTATTCCACTCATTAATAAATAGATTTATAGATTTAATAGATTGAGATCAGTGTTGGTCTTGAACCTTATTACAGCAAGTGAAGCATCCAAAGTATCAAGATTACTATGATAAGAAGCTCCCCTATAAACTAAATAGAAATCAGTGGAAATGACTGGCTATTATGAAATAATGTTTTTCTTAATAACTCCATATCCATTTTATTCCATGCTGGGCATGTAGTACTTCTATAATTATATTGACATCTTGTAAATGTAACATTTTTTGCCCTTCTAATGTATACCTGGCAGCATGCTGTGCACATTCAATGTACCATCTCTTGGTACCCTCAAAACCCTATGCACGAAATCAGGTATTGTACCCATTTTACTGATGAGGAAAGTAAAGATTAAAAGAGGCACAGCTAGTAAGTGGTAGAGTCTGAATCCCAACCAAATTTGGGTTGAACCCCAGCCCGCCTTGTAGCCAATGTGCTGTCATGTCCAGTCCAAGGAAGTCCAGCATGGGGTTCTGTGAAAGAATGACATTTTTCTTACCTGTTTGAGGTTCTGTTCACAGTGATCAAAAAAATGAAAAAGTTTGTGAAATATATAGGCGTCCATTGTTTTTCACTACTTGGCCCACTATTTTTTTTTTTTTTAATATGGAAAGTAATTTTAATTTTTTAAATTTAGTACATGTACTTTCATTTATATTCTTGGCAACAGTATATTCAAGTTTTATACACTCTGAATACAATGAACGATTTGTTTCATAGTCCTTTATATCAGCGCTGTCCTGTAGAACTTTTTGCTGTAATGAAAAGTTTCTCCATTTGCGCTGCCAAAATGGTAGTCACTAGACATATGTAGTTATTGTGAAATGTGGCCAGTCCAATGGAGGAACTTTAATTTTAATTTGTTAAGTTTTAACTAATTTTAAATTAAGTATCCACATGGGACTAGTGGTAATGACATCAAAGAGCATATTTTTATTTTTATGGCTCACTAATTTTGAATTTCATGCCTTTGACCTCTTCTTAACTGCCTCAGACAATCAGTCCTCTTGCAAAACACCTAAGCCCTTTGCCAGTCTGAGTTGCTAATTCCTATGGCCTGGCGTTGAGCTCCCCAGAGTCACTATGCTTTTTGTGTGATTTCAAACCAGGACCCTGTCGTGTGAGACATGTCATCTGGCAGGAATACTGTTTCCCCAGAAACCACTTCTTTTATGCCTCTTCTCAAGTTTTTCTTCAGGAGGACTGTTCCTCACCTTTGAAAGAATGGTGCTCCCCTCCCCATACTCTTTTATCCTGTTCAGTTTTCTTTCTAGTGTCCTTAGAGCTACTTAATGTGATGCTACACATTTGCTTATTGACGTTCCATTTTCCATACTAGACTGGAAACCACTTGAGATTGAAGACTTTATTTTGTACCTTCCCAGAACCTGAGCTCAATAAATGTTCAGGCATAACTGACTCTCAGACACTGGGAAAGAGAGAAGCATCACAG